CTCACTCCTCCTGCCCCTCACCCTGCTCCACTCCTCCTCCCTCCTGTTGCCTCACTCTTATCTCCCTCTCCTGCTCGCACTCCTCTCCCTCTCCCCTGCTCTCTCCTCTCCCCTTTCTCCACTCTCACCCCTCTCCCATTCCCTTGCTCTCCCGCCTCTCCCCCTCGCCTGCGCTCACTCTTCTCTCTCACCCCTGCCCTTGCTCTCACCCTTTCCCCTTTCACCTTCCGCTGCCCCTGCTCTCCCTCCCACGATCAAGCCGCTCTCCCTCCCGCGATCACACTGCTCTCCCACCCGCGACCACGCCGCTCTCCCTCCCGCGATCACGCCGCTCTCCCTCCCGTGCTCACGCCGCTCTCCCTCCGCGCGCTCACTCCGCTCTCCCTCCCGCTCGCTCACACCACTCTCCCTCCCGCGCGATCACGCCGCTCCCCTCCTGCGCCTCACTCCGCTCTCCCTCCCAAGTGCTCACGCAGCTCTCCCGCGCTCACTCCGCTCTCCCTCCCGCGCGTTCACTCCGCTCTCCCTCCCGCGCTCACTCCGCTCTCCCTCCTGCGCACTCTCCCTCTCTCCTTCCCGCGCTCACTGCGCTCTCCCTCCCGCGCGCTCCCTCCGCTCTCCCTCCACACGCTCACTCCGCTCTCCCTCCCCTGCCCTCGCTGCTTCCTCCCTGCTTTCGCCTCAGCCACTCTGTGCTAAGGTTCTGGCGCGTCACTCCGTCCCTGCTATCGCGTCACTCCATCCCTGCTATCGCGTCACTCCGTCCCTGCTATTGTGTCACTCCGTGCTATCGCGTCACTCCGTGCTATCGTGTCTGTAACAACCCTTGCCCTTATATCATGGGCAACAAGGGTTGAAGTCCAAACCCAACATCCAAGATCCTAGGTATAAATGGAGTACAAAATCAACTAACGATCCCCTAGCGTGGTATTTAGAGGAACCTCCTCTAAGAGATAGTATAAGCTTGAGGAAGGCCCTTGAAGATAGTGCTTGAGGCTCTGGTTGGGTAGGGCTTCCCCTAGGAGATCACACTAGAAGCCACTAGTGTAGGAAGCTTGTGAGGAGAGCTCATGACTTAGAGAAAAATCCCATTTCAAGATTGATTTCTTGGAGTGGGAAGTTGAGAATGAGCTTCTCAGCCCAGACCCCTTCCAATGACTCCCAGCAGCTGCTCAACCTCCTCCATGGCTCCAAGGAGGTGAGCTAGCTTATGTGGCAAAAGGGTTGGATTTCCAACCAATGAGAGGTTTACAACAATGTATTCAGATTAGCATAAGTGTACAGCATAAGAATATTCGAGTTGAGTTGGCATTGCCAACCAACTCCCTGGTTCTGATTGGTCGCAAATCCAACCATCGCATGAGTTGGGAATTTCGCCAACTCAATTTGTACAACTAAAATCTGATTGGTCCCAAGTATCGACCAATCCCAATCCTCCCCTCCCAACCCTTCCTTCCCATTTCGCGCTACCTAGGTAGCCAATTTGTGAAAGGTGGTTGGGACGGTCGTTTCTAGGCCCGTACTGTGCAGAGGCCATGCGTTACACTCCTCCCCCTCCAGGTGGCAACGTCCTCGTTGCCGTAGAGTGCTTCTGGGGACGGGTGCTTCGAGCGCGCCGAATCACATTACGACCAGGGTCAACACCATCCACTGGTTGTGAGGCTGCTCTTTGAGCCAGGTCTTCCAGATATCCGTGAACCAGTTTCGGTCAAATGTTCCTCTGGCTCCCATGAGTTGTGTTCAGGCCCATAGCCTTTCCACTTAATAAGGAACTCGCGTACTGTCTTGCGGCCGCGCTGTCGATCACGGTGCATGAGCACACGCTCGACCTCATAAAAGAGTTCCTCTCCGAGGACGATCGTTGGCGGAGGTAAGTACTTGCCTTCAGCAATGTACTTATTGAGCAGAGACACGTGGAAGACATTGTGAATCTGCAATGTTCGGGTAACTTGTAAGCTACCACACCAACGCTGGATCACCTCGAACGGCCCAATCCATCGAGGGAACAGCTTTCGTGCCCCAGGGATTTTGAGACGAATGTTCTTCGTGCTCAATAATACCTTGTCTCCAACCTCAAAAGAGACTTCCCGGCGTTTCATGTCGGCATAAGACTTTTGTCGCTGCTGAGACAGCTGCAGCCAGCGGCGAGCAGACTTGAGCGCTTCTTGCTGCTTGCCCACAAAGTCTTTCGCGGCAGGGACTCGCAGTCCGCCTATCCCATGCGTAGCAGGTGTCGTGGGATGCCGACCACAGTTCAGAATGAAGGGTTTTTCATGGGTACCTTCATGGACAATTGTTCACTGCGAACTCAACCACAGGTAACAAGTCATCCCAATCATCCTGAGTTGGGCCAATGAAGAACGAAGCATCTGCTCAAGAGTACGATTCGTCCGCTCTGTCTGCCCATCCGTTTGGGGATGGAAGGCTGACGACATCTTTAGCTTCGTTCCGAGTGTCCGTGTAACTTCGTGCCAGAACCGGCTTGTAAAGCGCGGATCTCGATCGGACACACCAGCAACCTGTGTAAGCGGAACACGTGTGCTACAAACAACTTGGCCGTATCTTCCGCAGATACGTCTGTTGTAGTAGCAACGAAGTGCACCATTTTGGTCAATCGATCCACAAAGACCAAGATCGCAGTATGACCGTCGCGTGTTTTTGGGAGGTCTGTGATGAAATCCAGTGAGACACTCTCCCAAGGTTCGTCTGGAATCTCCAGTGGTTGAAGCAAACCACCAGGCTTTTTCGTGTCTGACTTGTTGCGTGCGCATGCATCACAACGCGACACGAATTGTTGGACCTCAGTCCCCAATCCAGGCCACCAGTACACATCACTTAAGGCCCACCGGGTTTTCTTGATACCCAGGTGTCCCCCGTACTTGGTGCTATGCACTTCCTCAATTATATCATTCCGCAGGTTACCCACGTGGGGTACCACAATCTCTTTCTCTCGCCACCAGAGCTCATGCTCGTACTTGAGGCCCTTCGTATTTTGTGGGTTCTGGAACCAGGAGTCAATATGGTATCCTGTGCGGATGCGTTTCAGAAAACCACTGAAGGTGACCTCACTCACTCGAGCCACGGCAAGAATACCGAAGCAAGCAGCAACCACTGCCTTATCCTCGGTTTCATCAAGCCCAGTCGCTGCCCCTATCGGTGTCTGCTGAGGGGGTCAGCCATGTTCGTAGAACCTGCACGATATCGAATATCGAATGTGAACCCACTAAGGAGTTCTGCCCAGCGGGCTTGGCGCCGAGTGAGCGTGGCTTGAGTAGAGAAATAGGTGTTCGGACAGTGGTCTGTCGTGACCACAAACTCCACACCTTCCAGATAACATCGCCATGTTCGCAGCGCATGCACGACCGCCAGCAACTCTTGTTCTGACGTCGTATATAGCGCTGCTCTGCCGGGGAGAGTTTCCTACTCTCAAATGCCACTGGACGGCCCTCCTGCAAGAGTACCGCCCCAATCCCTACTGTCGAGGCGTCTGTGACCACCTCATAGGGTTTAGAAGGATCTGGCAATACCAAAACCGGAGCATTGGTCAGCTTTGTTTTGACTTTGTCAAATGCCTCTTGGCATTGTCGAGTCCACTCCCATGCACTACCCTTTCGGGTGAGTGCTGTCAGAGGGGCAACGACAGTCGAGTAATTTTCCAAGAACCGGCGGAAATAATTGGCCAGGCCTAGGAAGGACCTGATCTGGCCCACGTCTTGTGGGACGGGCCAATTCTGAACAGCCACCACCTTCTTGGGGTCGACTTTAAGTCCGTTGTTCCCGACAAGATGACCGAGGTATTCCAGCTCGCGTTTGTAGAAATGGCATTTCCATAAACGAGCATAGAACTTGTGTTCTCGCAACTTCCTAGCACCCATTTTAGGTGTTGAGTGTGCTCCTCTCAGTCTTGGAATAAACCAAGATCGTCAGGTAAACCAGAACGAAGTGCCGATTCGCGAAACACATCGTTCATGGCCCTTTGAAAAGAGGCCAGCATTGGTCAAGCCAAAGCTCAGCACGCCATTGAAAATGGCCAAACGGCGAACGGAACGCCGTCTTGGGAACATCTTCCTCAGTGATGCGCAGTTGGTGGTACCCTTGTGCCAGATCCAACGCGCTAAACCACTGAGCACCCTGGAGTCGATCGAACATATCTTCTATCCTTGGAAGAGGATATCTGTTCTTGATCGTGATCTTGTTTAAGGCGCGGTAGTCGACGCACATGCGTAAGCCACCACCCTTCTTGTTAACGAACAAGATTGGTGCTCCATATGGTGATGCGCTTGGCTCAATCCATCCCTTCCTGAGGTACTCCTCAATCTGTTGTTTAGCCTCCTCGTACTCAGCTGGACTGAGGCGATACAGAGGTCGAAACGGTGGGAGCTTTCCAGGCTCCACAGGGATGGTGTGGCCCACGGCGCGGTCAGGAGGGAGTCCGTCTGGAATAGACTCAAAAACCTCCTTAAACTCATCCGCCAGTACCTTCATCTGAGGTGGAAAATCCTCAATGTCTGGCGTTGGGGTTCCAGCTTCCTCGAGCTGTACGACGAAAAGTGTGTTAGCAATGCGGTAATGCTGTCCGAATTGACATGCAAGAGCAAAGCACACGTCTGGACTTTTCGTAATTTGAACCACCGGGATGGTTGTGTCGACAGACACCTGCCACTGGATTGGTTCACCATTCTTGGTGAAAGAAACTGTGTTATCCTGGAAATCCAGAATAACCTCATTTGCACGTAACCAATCCATTCCCAAGACTACGTCGACACCCGCAAGCAAGGGGAGAACGTAAGTGCGAATCTTTTCGCTATAGCCTTGGATTTCCATGTCGATCATTGTCCGTCCTTTGCTTGGGATAAGACTATCGTCACCAAGACGAATGGGACATGACGGTCCTTCAACGAGGACCCCAAGCGGTGTGACCCACTTTTCATCAAGAGGGAAACAGTGGCACCTGTATCGACAAGAATTTTCGCGCTATGTCCGTTAACGCGACCCGAAAGGAGTAGATTTTGTTGATGCATTGGGCGGATGGGGCATGCCACAATGTTCGACGAGGGTTTGTAGTACACCTTGACATTGTGGCGGGCTCGTCCAAAGGATTCAGATTTGGTCCACCACACATGGTGTCCCTTGTCCCAAGACGCCAGCACAACCCATCCACGAAGCGATTTGAACGTTTCGCCCTTTACTGTACGAGTCACCACGGCGACCGCAGTCAGGGGGTGGAAGGCAATGTTTCCAGGCCACAGTAAACGACTGAGAATTTATCTCGTAACGCTTCGATGGATATAGCATCAAGTGGGTACGATCGAGGTGCAAACATTGATCTTTTATTAAAAGAAGAGGCAAACAAACAAGAGATTTTGCATTCAGCAAGCTTCTCTAGCTTTAGTAAATCATCGTCACATAAAGCATATGCCTCATCCCCTCGATCTATCTGACCAACTAGGTACCCACACCCTAGTTGGACTTCTGAAAATCCTTCTTACTGCCAGAAGGTCCTTCGCCGCCATTGTTGTTGCCCTTAGGCTTACCACTATGCTTTATGATATTCCTATAGCGGCACTGAAATTCCATGTGACCACGGCGGCCACACCCTCGGCAGACGACATTAGAGAAGTCCCTTGGCGGCCCTTTGTAACCGCCACCATTCGCCCTCTTAGCCGGAGGACGCTGCTGGTTACCATTCTGGTGGAAGGGCCTCTTGTACCCATGGCCCTTCCCCTTGGAATTCCACTGGCCACCACCACCATTGCCACCATCACCCCTCGCCTGAGTCCTCGACTCAGGCTGGTCGGTGGAAGGCGTTGCTAGCATACGAACAGTCTCGTCCGTTGCTTGAACCGCCTCTTTGAGCTCCTTGTAGGTGCTCCATTTGTTGAGGCCATTTGCGACATGCTTATCCTGCAGGGACTGGGCAAGTTCTGGAAGAAGATATACATAACTTCATTCTCAGACAGCTGCTTGCCCATCAGTCGCAGAACGCCCTCAAACTCTTGTGCATATTTCTGCACTGAGCGATCGCCGCACTTGATGTTTTCAAGGCGACGACGCACCTCCATGTCAGTTGTCTTGACAAGAAAGCCGCTTTCATTGCAGCACAGAACTCGTCCCAAGTGAAAAACTTTCCACTTGCTTCGAGCTGCTTCCGGCTAGCAAACATGGTTTGGCTAGCATGCTCATCCAACGCACAGAGACGGCGGTGACACGAGCGTTGTGCGCACGTTGTGGAGAGTCAGCATTTCATCCACAGTTGTCACCCAGTTCTCAACATCCGTCTTGCCATGGATGAATTTTGGGAGCGCAGTGGGGAGCGAGCCAAAAGGCGTTGCCATAGGCTGGACAGGCTGCTGAGGTGCTGCAGTTGAAGGAGATGCAACAGGCGGCGGGTTGGATTGGGTGCCCGATGGGCCAGCAGTAGCGGGTGAGTGTTGAGATAGGACCCCCGAATATCCCTGTACTGGTTCTGCAGGTGGGCAATAGCAGGTTGCATCGGGGCGATTGTAGATTGCAGCTGGGCAGTTGTAGTCTGCAGTTGGGTAATAGCAGCTTGCAGCTGGTCGCACGTTTTCTCCAGGCCAGGATTTGATTGCCCCGGTTATGTAACAGATGCTTGTGATCCCGTACCTCTCCGTATGCCATGTTGAGATCGGCTTGCAGCCTAGTCGTGTCGGCCTTTTGTGTCGCCAAAAGCAATATTGAGGGAGTTGATGTGTCCCTTCTGCTGATTGATTGTAAGCTGGCTGCTCGGAGAATTGTGCCTGGAGTTTAGCCACATCATCGAGAGCGGACCATGCCTCGATGCCATCATCCTCCTCCTCTGCTCCATCAATCCCTTCTGCTTCTCCATGCTCTTCATTGCCCTCATTCTCCAAATTTAGGTCCACCAATTCAATATCAGCCCATAGCCTTATCTTGCTGTTGGTTATTACTAGCAGCAAGGTGGCTCCACTCAAGAGTCACATTAGGGCTCCTCCCTTTCCAAGTTCTCTAAAACTTGACTTGAAGTCATGGTAAAACAAGGAAGATATTTCAGCAGATCTGAAATGTTCTTTAAAATCTCTTAAGAACTTTGTTCAAGTCCCAATCACCGCAGTGAGAGGGAAAGACAATCTCAATAAAGAGATCTCTTAACAGAATAACTTAAAATGAGAAATTACAAAAAATATAATATGTTGCCCAATCCCTAGCACCTCAATGCTAGGGCAAGATCTAAAACTAGATCTTGCAACAGATCACAGATCTGAAACACACTCCATTTAAGGGAGCCTTCCACCAACAAGGTGGGCAAGAGAGAATATTATCTCTCTTCAAAACTTGAATTGTGGAGGTAAGAGAAGAGGTTGTAGCGGAAAATGGTCTTGAGAGGGGTTGGAGTTGATGAAGATCCTGGAGAAGCTCTTCAAAATTGACTTGGAGAAGTTTGAAATGCCTTGAAAAATCTTGAAATCTTCACTTCAATGTCTTGGGATTGAGATCCAATCACCCCTCTAAAAATAAAAAAAAGATCAAGAAAAATCCCACAAGGCTTATGATTAACCTTGCTCTGAATACCAATGTAACAACCCTTGCCCTTATATCATGGGCAAACAAGGGTTGAAGTCCAAACCCAACATCCAAGATCCTAGGTTATAATGGAGTACAAAATCAACTAACGATCCCCTAGCGTGGTATTTATGAGGGACCTCCTCTAAGAGATAGCTTAAGCTTGAAGAAGGCCCTTGAAGAATAACGCTTGAGGCTCTGGTTGGGTAGGGCTTCCCTTAGGAGATCACACTAGAAGCCACTAGTGTAGGGAAGCTTGTGAGGAGAGCTCATGACTTGGGGAAAAATCACATTTCAAGATTGATTCTTAGAGTGGGAAGTTGGAAATGAGCTTCTCAGCCCAGACCCCTTCCAATGACTCCCAGCAGATGCTCAATCTCCTCCATGGCTCCAAGGAGGTGAGCTGGCCTATGTGGCAAAAGGGTTTGGATTTCCAACCAATAAGAGGTTTACAACAATGTATTCAGATTAGCATATAGTGTACAGCATAAGAATATCGAGTTGAGTTTGCATTGCCAACCAACTCCCTGGTTCTGACTGGTCGCAAATCCAACCATCGCATGTGTTGGGAATTTCGTCAACTCAATTTGTACAACTAAAATCTGATTGGTCCCAAGTAGTACGAAAACCATCCCCAATCCTCCCCTCCCAACCCTTCCTTCCCATTTCGCGCTACCTAGGTGGCCAATTTGTGAAAGGTGGTTGGGACGGTCGTTTCTAGGCCCGTGTACTATGCAGAGGCCATGCGTTACAGTGTCACTCTGTCCCTGCTGTCGGCGTCACTCCGTCCCTGCTATCGGGTCACTGCCGTCCCTTGCTATCGCTCCACGAGGTCGCTCCTATCGCGTCCCACCAGTGATCTTGGCCTCTGTCGTGCCTATCCCTCGCTGTTCGCAGCGGCGCTCCATCCCTGCTTCTACGCCACTCTCTCGATGCTCCCGCGTCACTTCCTCCCTCGGGAACTGTTATCAGCAGTTCGCAATGCTTAGCCGATCGTCGCGGGATCTGCGTCATTATCGCTATCATTCCTTATGGCGCGCAGTTCCGTCTAGGCTTGGCTACGCGCGCAAGAAACCCCGTATGCTGGCTAGTTTCTAGTCAGGCCCTGGGATATCAGGCTTTTTAGGCTGATTTGGGTTTCGGGTCCAGGCCATATCTTGGCATTGGCTAATGCAAATGATACAAAGGCTTGTGAGGAACCTGTTGTTCAAGAATAAGTCTCAATGGGCAATTTGCATACACAGGAAAATCATACACAATAGAAAAAACAGCCATTGAAATTAAGCAAACCAGGGTTTTAAGGTTGATATCTTAGGCCCTGTTTCTAGTCACTAGTCGGTCACGGCTTGGTCCCAATTTACAAAAATTGATAGCAACTTTCCCTTACCCGTTTGAGCTGAGAGAGAGCCGGGGGTTTGGGCTGCTTGGGCGAAGGTGTTTGCTTGCCTTCGACCAATCACGAGCCCCCTTTTACAGCCACCGCGTCAATGTTCAGCTTCATCCAGGTGCATGGGGTTACCCACTTTTTTGCGCTACGATATTGCTAGCAAAAAAAACTCGCGCCTTGCAACTTGGGATCCGGGTTTTAATCCCTACGTAGTCTCCTTGGGCACTCCAGCAGTATCCTACCACTACCCTCGCATTTCAGTACAAATTTTATCCCTTCTGGTTCGCTCCATTTCATTCGGTCGTGTTCTGTTTCAGCGAACTATGAGCTTTCTCCGGTTTCGACGCGGAGCATCAGAGAACAGTTACTTCAAACAAGTAAGGACGCCTAATCCCAGCAGTTATACCAGCGAGTCACATCCTCTTCCCCCCCCCCCCCCCCCCACTTCCCCTCTCTCCCCCCCCTCTCCCCGCTTCCCTTCTCCCCATATTTTCGAAGTCCAGGTTGTTCAATTTCATAGTTTCTCTTCCCTCTTCGTTTCAATTGTTCTTGTATCGCCACGATGTCGTCCAAACGCCATCTGTTTCGAATGCGGCATTCTTCTCTGTGCGTCTTTTTCTAGATTCCGCTCGTTTCACCCCTCGTGTCATACGCTTCCCCCTGCCTCGTGTCATATGGATTCCTCACGTTTTATAGGAAAGCGAGTTGCAGGCGAGCAGATTAAGGGAGTCCGCTCAATTGCGTTCCCAGAATAACACCGAAGCCCACTCTGTAAGCAGCAATGGCGATGCCACGTCAGCATCCCCTCCTGCAACTACCAACCTCGAGGATGCCGTGGATGTGCTCCCGGAAATCCTCAGCCATCGATTGCCTCTCGCGAGCCGATCTGAACCGTTGATTGACGTAAGGCATTCGCCGGGTGGAAGTGGAGATACTATGACCGAGAGAGATGGAGTTGATAACAGATTCGCACACGTCAGCAGATCAGCGCCTGGTGCATCTGCACACGTCAGCAGAGCGTCTTCGGGATTGCCTGGTGCTTTGGAGGGAGCATTGGGACATGTTCCAGAGACGAGGCTCGGCAGGAGCAAGTGAGTGCGGTTTAGACAGGTGGAATGCGGTGCAAATGTGTGTTGTGTGTGTGCTCGACAGGTGAGATCCGGTGCGAATGGTGCCAGAGCTGCTGAAATTCCCTGGTGCGTTGGGGGAAGCCTTGGGGGGTGCCATTCGATGCCACGCCTACGCCTGATACATTTTGAGTCGACTCAATACAGTTTTGGGACGTCTCAAGATTCGATGACACGCACACGTCTGATGAAATTTGAGTCGACTCACAAAACGATCCTGCTTCCGTTGTGCCATTACCCTTTCTTGTGCTCCTAGATACCAGATATCGTTCGATGGCGCGCACATGCCTTCTCCCTCCACAGCCAACGAGAGGAGGCCACGTGGGCCAGACAAGGCCACGGCAGAGGGCATGGCGCAAGCCCTACGCATGGGGGGGTGTGTGTGAGGAAGGAAGGGGAGAGGGGAGGGGGGGAGGGGAAGGGGAGAGAGGAAGGGGAAGGTGTTGGGTGGGTGTTGGGTGGGTGTTGGGAGAGAAAGCGGGGAGGGGGAGGTGGAGGGTGCGGGGGGGTGGGGGTGGGGTGGGGGGATTAAAGATGGGGGGCAGAGGGGGCCAGAGTCACCAGGTGTTCAGAGGCCATAGCCCTCTGCGTGGGTGAGAGGGAGAGACGGAAAAGGAGTTGGCTTGGGCGGGTGTTAGGGGGAGTGAGGAGAGTGAAACCCTGAAACGCTCCGATTCTTGCCCATGAACCCCACCCTGATCTCTGCTCCTGCCCCAAAAGCCCACCCCTGTCTCCCCTCTCCTCCCTTCCCCCTTCCCCCCTCCTCCCTCCCCCCCCCCCCCCCCGCCTTTCCCCCCCCTTCCCTCCCCTCTTTTTTCCACTGCACCGTGACCAAGTGTTTCCTTTCCTCTCTGTTGCCTCCCACCCCCTTTTTTTAGTCCCACTTTTGCCATGTGTTTTTCTTGGATGTGTGCAGTGACCAAATCATTCGCTATAGCCACCGTGATTGTAGCTGGGGGGACTGCTCTCGCCGTTGCAGCCACCTTCCGAGCTTTGGAAATTCAGTCGGTGCGTTGTGCTATCACTAGTGCAGGCGTCTGTGCTAATGGTAGTGTAGTTTCTGTGATTCGATGTTGTCCTGGTGGTGGATCCTCTATATACATACATATATATATATATATATATATATATATATATATATTCAAGTGCATCTTTCTCATCCTCTCCCCCCCCCCGTCATTCTCCCCATCATACCAATCATCCGCTTAGCAATTCGTGTCCGTAGTTCTCCTGTCCCCATATCGCCATCAGCGTTACAACATCCCATCTCAGCCATGTGTGGACGCCGTTTCCCAATGCTCTCCTGTTACTGTTCATGTTACTACCCCTCACCCATCACCATCAGCTTGAGGACATCCCAGTGAAGGGCAAAGCAGCCATCCAACCACGAATTGATGCCATTTCTCAGTGGTTCTCCCTCTCAGTCACCAGGTAAACCCTCTCTTCATCTCGGGATCTTCTACCATACACGTCATTGTGGCGCTCTTACATCACATTGTCAGTCACACCCGTGTTCATAGCGCTTCCGTTGTTGTTCCTGCATCCCTGACACGCTTGCCCTATTTACGGAGCAATTACCAGGGTACCCCCTCAATCCATGGCACACCATGCCCTTTCTAGCGCTATTGTTGTTTTCCCCGCAATTTTCCTTTGCCAGGTGCACCAGGCAGCAGCAGAGTGGCACATGAACGAAGGGATCAATCTGCTGTGGGTTCAAAATTCGCAGAGACGCTTGGAGCAAGGAGAGGAGGCTCCCCCTGCTGGATCTGATGATGTTGGAATTGGTAATGAGTCCCGGAACAGCGCAGACACAAGATGAATTGCAGAAGAGAGACATGGACAGCCCAGGCAAGAAATTCGCAGAGATGCTTGGAGCAAGAAGAGAGGCTGCTGCTGGACCTGATGACGCTGGAACCGGTAATGAAACCTGGAATAGTAGTTGCGCACAGACTCGAGATGAAATGAGGAAGAGAGGCATGGCACGGCATGGCAGCCCTTTTCCTTTCGGGTTTTGCAGTATGTAGAGCACCCATTGTGAAAGTGCATGGTGGCAATGGTTCATGCTGTAAGTGGAGCAAGCAAACATTGACTCTGATCAGTCTGTCAGGCGAACCTTGTTTCGAGGGAACAAACATTGCATCACTTCCAATGCTCCAACCAACACATCTATTGGGGTACAGTACACTTATAGTTGAGTAACTTCCCAAGCAGATCGTACACCAAGGAGCCTCCAGTGAGGCTATCTCTGATGGTTGATGGGAAGCGCTCTCCCCCTGGGCAGTCGACTCTCCACTCCCTATTTTGTGTGGCAAACGAACAATGTGGCACGCACTCCAATAACCGAATGGCCTCCCAAGCAGATCGTACGCTGCCAAGTGGCGGTGCTGCTATCTCTGTTGCTCTAAGGGAAGCACTCTCCCTTCAGGCAGTCGGTTCTTCACTCCCGCTAATCTGTGCAGCAACCAGACAATGCACCGCGTGGCTTGCGGTGTTTCAGAGACGGAATTTGAACCAAGTGGCATCGGTGCTATCGCTGTTGCTTAAAAGGCAGCACTCTCCCCTCGGGTAGTCGGCTCTCCACTGTTCCTATTCTGTGCGGCGGCCACACTATGCAGCGCACGCGGCCCTCCAGCAGCGCAATTGGCACCTGGGAGGCGTGGGTGGGGCGAGAGGGGAATGTGGGTGGAATGCGAGGGAGCAGAGCAGGAATGAGGCGAACCGCAATCCGTGTGGTGGACACACAATGCAGGGACCGAACCGCCCCGCAGCGCTGAGGGTACCTGGGAGGAGCACTTGCAGAGCAAGGGGGGTGTAAAAGAGAAAGAGCGAAGGGGGGAGGGGGAGGGGTAGGCGGAGGAGGAGGGGGAGCAGGGGGGGAGACGAGGGTGATAGGCTCATAGTTCCACTAGGTCTCCACACTGCAAGCAATGAGTCACACTTCGCCCTTCAGCTTGCCACATTCGATTCCGCATGGATAATACCCTTGACTACAGGAGCATGGATAATACCCTTGACTACGGGAGCATGGATACATGATAAGTTGGGGGGAAGGGGAAGGAAGGGGGAGGTTGCTGTGCTCGTACGAACAGCATGATGCGCTGCCTGTTGCAGCAAGCAAAACTCAAAAGGTGTGTTTGAATCGACCCAAAAGTGTGTTTTGAGTCGACTCGAAACACACCTGGAAGGGGGGGGGGAGGGGGAGTTGCTGTGCTCGTACAAACAGCATGATGCGCTGCCTGTTGAAGCAAGCAGGAAACTCACAAATTTTGTCTGTGAGATGTAAAACTGCAGACTTATCAAGCAACATGTATTATAGCTAGCACACATACCATGCAAGCAACATGCAGATCAGTACACATACCAAGTGGCATGCACATGAGCAAACGTACCGGGCCAAAGTGTTTCGAGTCCTCGCTGACATCAGCGTTGTCCCCTTCCACCCAGCAGTGCCCCTTGGGGATCCGCCTGATGACGTCATCACCCCTGCTGGTGCTGCTGCCACTGCCGCTGACGTCATCGCAGCCACCCGGCACTGTGACCCAGTCGTCCTGTAATGCGATGAGGCGCTTTATGAGGCACAGGTCGGGGTCAGTGGGAGACCTGCACTGTTGCAAGAGGGGAAGAAAAGGGGAGGGGAGAGGAAGGGTGGAAGGGGAGGGAGAGAGCGGAATTGGCTGGCGAAGGAACGGGAGACTAGTTGACAGTTTTTCTGAGGCACTTGTTGGTTAGGGTCGGAGGGAAACGTGCACTGTTGGCACTGCATGTAGCAACAGCCGTGAGTTGATAATTTCGTTTTAAGACGCCTCGGAACGAAATTATCAACCCAGGGAAGCGTGAACTGTTGGTACTGCATGTAGCCGGCTGACAGCCTGTTCAAGAGGCCAACCCACCAGCCCACCAAGCCCCCACCCACACCCCGGCTACTCCCCCTCCTCCCCCCGCCCCCCCATTCCCCCCTTAAGATCACCTGAGTGCCACCAAGTCCCCGCGCTGGTATTGCAAATAGCGCGCTGATAGCCTGTCCTTGAAGTGCGGAACAGCGCCCTTCCTCCCTCCCTCTCCCCTTCCCCCCATCTCCTCCCCGGAAGCACCCGAGCACGACCACATCCCCTCGTTGGTACTGCATGTAGTGTGCAGACAGCCTGTTCAGGAAGCGCGGAACAGAGCCCCCCCCCTCCTCCCCCCCCCCTCCTCTCCGGAATCACCTGAGCGCAACCACGTCCCCTCGTTGGTACTGCATGTAACGTGCTGACAGCCTGTCCAGGAAGGACCTACCCTCCCTTTCCCCCTCCCCCTCCCCAACCCCTTGCACCCCACCCACCCACCCACCCACCTGAGCACAACCACGTCCCCTCGTTGGTACTGCATGTAACGTGCTGACAGCCTGTCCAGGAAGGACCTACCCTCCCTTTCCCCCTCCCCCTCCCCAACCCCTTGCACCCCCACCCACCCACCCACCCACCTGAGCACAACCACGTCCCCTCGTTGGTACTGCATGTAACGTGCTGACAGCCTGTCCAGGAAGGACCTACCCTCCCTTTCCCCCTCCCCCTCCCCAACCCCTTGCACCCCCACCCACCCACCCACCCACCTGAGCACAACCACGTCCCCTCGTTGGTACTGCATGTAACGTGCTGACAGCCTGTCCAGGAAGGACCTACCCTCCTTTCCCCCTCCCCCTCCCCAACCCCTTGCACCCCCACCCACCCACCCACCCACCTGAGCACAACCACGTCCCCTCGTTGGTACTGCATGTAACGTGCTGACAGCCTGTCCAGGAAGGACCTACCCTCCCTTTCCCCCTCCCCTCCCCAACCCCTTGCACCCCCACCCACCCACCCACCCACCTGAGCACAACCACGTCCCCTCGTTGGTACTGCATGTAACGTGCTGACAGCCTGTCCAGGAAGGACCTACCCTCCCTTTCCCCCTCCCCCTCCCCAACCCCTTGCACCCCACCCACCACCCACCCACCTGAGCACAACCACGTCCCCTCGTTGGTACTGCATGTAACGTGCTGACAGCCTGTCCAGGAAGGACCTACCCTCCCTTTCCCCCTCCCCCTCCCCAACCCCTTGCACCCCCACCCACCCACCCACCCACCTGAGCACAACCACGTCCCCTCGTTGGTACTGCATGTAACGTGCTGACAGCCTGTCCAGGAAGGACCTACCCTCCCTTTCCCCTCCCCCTCCCCAACCCCTTGCACCCCCACCCACCCACCCACCCACCTGAGCACAACCACGTCCCCTCGTTGGTACTGCATGTAACGTGCTGACAGCCTGTCCAGGAAGGACCTACCCTCCCTTTCCCCCTCCCCCTCCCCAACCCCTTGCACCCCCACCCACCCACCCACCCACCTGAGCACAACCACGTCCCCTCGTTGGTACTGCATGTAACGTGCTGACAGCCTGTCCAGGAAGGACCTACCCTCCCTTTCCCCCTCCCCTCCCCAACCCCTTGCACCCCCACCCACCCACCACCCACCTGAGCACAACCACGTCCCTCGTTGGTACTGCATGTAACGTGCTGACAGCCTGTCCAGGAGGACCTACCCTCCCTTTCCCCCTCCCCTCCCCAACCCTTGCACCCCCACCCCCACCCACCCACCTGAGCACAACCACGTCCCCTCGTTGGTACTGCATGTAACGTGCTGACAGCCTGTCCAGGAAGGACCTACCCTCCCTTTCCCCCTCCCCTCCCCAACCCCTTGCACCCCCACCACCC